ATAACTTTAAAAAATGTATCGATCCTTTTTATAAAAAGTATAGACACTTTCAATATAATAGGTAAAAATATGATGTAATAGGTAACGCTTATATAATGTAATAGGTAGCGTTTATATAATGTAATAGGTAGTGCTTATAATGTAAAATATCTATTCTTTTTATAAAAGTGTCCATACTTTTTTTACTGTGGAAAACATTAATTTAAGGTTATCTTTTGAGTGAGTTTTAAGATATTAATTTAGTAATTATAGGCGTCTAATGATTTATTTTTTACGTTACGATATATATTATTATTAAATTAAAAATAATAAACATATATATTACATATTTATTATTATCTTTGGTTAATATTGTTAAATTTAAATTCTAAATATTATTTTATAAAATATCAAAACAATCAAATAATTTTTTGTGCAAATGATATTATTAAATTAATATTGCAGGTGGAAAACATGAAACACTATTAAAAAAAAATTGAAACATAAATTACATAACTTTAAAAAAAGTATCGATCTTTTTTATAAAAAAGTATAGACACTTTCAACATATTATAATGTAATAGGTAAATTTGTAATGCTATCGGTATAAATATACCGATTTACTTATAAAATAGGTCAATATAAGCGCTACCTATTACATTATATAAGCGCTACCCAGTATGTTATTGTACTTTATAATATTTCCGGTTAAATAATATAACATAACCGGTCTAAATTTTAACCGGTCACTTGTTTAACCGGTCACGCCGTATATTAACCGTTTTTTAGACGCCGCACCGCAGAACTACGTTAATAAACTTACCGTTAATTCACTATTAATGTCAAAAAAAAATAAAAACCCCTTCTTTAAACCCTTATCAAAATCTTAAAATCTTTACTAATAACTAGTTGATCTAGTGGGATGAGGCATTAGATCCCTTAAGCAAGGTCAGGGGTTTGAATATTGATGTTTGCGGATGGAGCAAAATGGGTTGTGAAGGTCGCCATCGTCTCTGTAATATCCGATCTGGATTAGTCGGTCAATAGATCATATATCATTGATTAATTCAAAAAAAAAAACTTAAAATCTCTCTTATACAAATCCTAATTTTTTCTGAATATTCTTTCAATCATTTCACCTTTTCTACAACTTTTAGGCTTTAACGATTCCTTTTCTTTGAGCAAATAAAAGCTTATTATCTCGCCTTCTTTCTTCGGCTCATTTTCCCTTCTGGTTCCAAGGTTTTCCATGGAGATTAACTGACGAAACTAAAGTCAGGCACGTCTCTTATGTGACTTTCGACCGCTTTAATGGCTTCCTTGGCTTGCCGACTGAGGACAATATTTTGACGTGTTTTGCAGGGATCGGTTCCTGTTTTAACAAAACTTTTTAATAACAAAGCAAAGGTAGGGGAATCATATGAAATATCAGTATAGTTTTTTAACAGTGTCAAACAGTACAGAATGATTTTGCAGAATAAAACACCGAACAATCAAACAAAATGAACAAAACTAACCAATACATGGAGCAACGAAACAGAGTAAAGATCAAACTCAGATCATAACTTGTTTTAATCCAAAAATTCAAGATTGCAGCTGAATTGTTAATTTTCTTCGGCTATATTTTTCTACGAAAACTCGAACTTAAAAGACGAGAACAATGTCCAACTAGAGAGTAACAAACACAACAAACCATATACCACTTAAAATAAAGGTAACAACTGCACAAGAGAGGCTTTGATATTTGCATTACTAGTTTAATCAAAGAGGTTGAAACCCATATCATCATAAGATTCTTCTCTTCAACCTTCTCTTTTGTGGTCTCGACGACCGATGAAGCACTACGATCACCGCCACCAAATGTAGGAGTATTACCACAACATGAACACAAACGAGATTATTATGAAGTGGTGGAACAGAATTGAAGCCATTAACTTTTATTATTAAAATACTTTGTATGCAAAGTAAAACTAGATCACTATGATACTCACTTGATCATTATTAATTAGTTCATTCCAGTGTTTAAAGCAACAAGCTCTCTCACCTCAGCTTCCAACACTGAGGCTATAATTTAAATCCTGAACTAAAATATTTGACTATTAAGAAAAACATTTATTTACAAATTAATCTCATGTTTGATTGAGAATCAAATCATAAGAAAAATCCTCAACCATCAAAGCTACTCCATGATTCAACAATGATTAGTAAGTTACTTACGAACGAGATGAAATTGTCAGGAGTTATTTTGCATTAAGGGCATATGTGAAATGGGTACAAAGAAAATTAAAAAAAAGATTTGCACAGAGGAGATTTTAAGATTGCTAATAATGAAGTTAGATGAAGGTCTACAACATTAAATATTTTCAATTGAAAAATGCAAAAGCTAATTATTTTTATTCACCAGTACTGTTAGTTTGATTGATGATCCAATGACCAAAATCTTGGATCATTACTATTGGCTGGGTCGCTTTATTAACTTCATGTCTGGGCACGGATTATTGATGATTGGATGTAAATTACTGGTCCACTTTTTAAGTATCGTGACACTGCCGGCAATTTAATTACTCGATCTTACTTCTCAGCCATCTATATATATGTTCTGTGGTCTATAGTTATGGGGCACCATTCTATTTGCATGTAAACGATGAGTGCCTTCAGGGTTTTCACTTTCCTGATTCTCGGTTTTTTTCTTCTTCCCTGTCGTACTGACTCTAGGAAGCTAGGTGTGAGCGAAAAGGAAGTGCATGCAGTTGGTGACAATAAATCATTCTTCCCTTATATCCCGGTGTATGGCGATGGGTTCGGTTGGCCTGGTGCCGATGGGCACTTAGGCGGAGGAGGAGGTGGTGGCGACGATGGTGGTGAAGGAGGGGGTGGCAATGGGGTGATGGATATGGTTTCGGGAGTGGTGCTGGTGGTGGGGTCGGGTCTGGAAACGGAGGGCTTGGAGGCGGAGGATCTCATGGTGGTGGGTTTGGCGGAGGATATGGTGCAGGATTTGGAGGAGGAAGCGGAATACCATGAGTTGTACGGACTATGTTGCTTGGGATTGAAGTAACTTCATGGTACATGTTATGTGGTATTATTAATTTAGGTGTGCATCCCTTTCACAAATGTAATTGTAATCTGTAAGCCTAAACGTGAACTGTGGGAAAGTTGCATGTAATAAACAGTTCATTAACTTATATCAGTGACATCTTAGTGTTTATTGAATTCCCAACACTCTTCTCTTGTACAACCAGGGCCGGTTTTGGGCATGTGCGGGCTATCCAGTCGCACAGGGCCCAATTTATGTAAGGAAGGTCACCAAAATTTACAACACGGCCCTGTGTACAACACAGTTACCATCATACATTCATATACCTAAAATATAATAACAACTTTTAGATTACGATTCCCGCGTTGTGAAGAAGAAGAAAACTTACGCTAAAATATTAAATAGATCTATATTTTTTAAAATTATTTTATCAATACTTTTTTTTTCTTTTTGCATTCAATTATTATTAGATGGTCATGGACATGAATAACGCTTTTAAACCTTGATCTTTGGCCATGATGAGATTGAGTGTTAATCCACATTTAAAATTAGGGTAAACTATACCATTGACCACCTAACAATAGCCTCTTTTCATTTTGACCATCATTTTTGAATTATAGTCAATCAAGTCACCCAACTATTTAAACGTAGTCAATCAGGTCACTTGTCGTTAACATTTAACAGAAGTACTGACGTGCAGTTAATAAAATTGATATAATTACATATTTGATCCTCAATAGTCATATATTTTTTTTAATTTGATCATAATTTTGATTTAATTTAATAAATTTGATCTCCAGTTAGGTGGTGACACATGTCACTACCAGATTAAAAGATATTTTATTAATTCTAATTGTTTAATTTATTTTATTTTGTATACAATAAGGTGGTGTCACCACCTTATTAGATACAAAACATTCCAAAGAAATTAACTTGGCGACCCACTACTCTACCAAGAATGCCCAAACCACTAGGCTAAAACGAAATTAACATGCTTGTAGAGGGATTCAAACTTGGAAATTTAAAAGGGAGGGCAAACATCTTAGCCATTAAATCAAGCCTTATATTCAATTAAAATTTACAAAATTATATATATTTATTAAATTAAATTTAAGAGGGAGTGATTTGATTGAATATATTTAAATAGTTGGGTGACCTGATTCATAAAATTAAAAAATGATGGTCAAAATAAAAAAAACTATAATTAGGTGGTCAGTGATATAGTTTACCCTTAAAGTTATTATTCATCGGAATATGTTCCGTCCGAAAGTGGAACTGTGGGGCTAGCTTAGACGTGAAACAGTGGTGCAATGTAGGTTGAATCGAAATTGGATTGTAATGGTGAATCGAATTTAGATGTTCACATTAGTTTATTAAATATTAGATGGTTCGAGAGGAGCATATGATCTATTGGACAGAAAACTATACGACAGATTCTATGGCAAACTTGCCACTCAATATAAAATTTTTAGGATAAAATTCGCCTAATTATTTAATCTAATAATAAATTATATATTCTATTTTTAGAATTACTACATTTATTATAACGATTTAGAATTCATCACGTGAGCATGATGAATTTTAATAAAATATATTTTTTATTATAACTTGTCATTCTGGTAGGATAAAATTTTAATAAAAAATTATATATTTTTTAAAATTGTCACCTCGACGTGATGATCTTGAATAAAAAATTATTTAGATAAACTCAACATGTGATCGTGACATGTTTATCTTGCAATGTAACATTTACGATAAATCTCAAATAAATTATGAAGATGGTCTAATGGGTTAACATTTTTACCCGCCTGAGTCAATTTCGCCAACTTTTGGTTTTAATTAAAAGGCCTCAAAGTTGACGAATGGATGTGGGCTTAATAAAAAGAAAGCCCAAGTTTAGTTTTGATCTGCATCAAAGTTATGTCCAGTCCATTTGAATAAACGCTAACTCTCTGTTCAGATTCGGTCGAACAATAAACCCCAAACGAAACTCATCCCCCCTAAAACTATAATCTCCCATCCTTAAACCCTAGACACGCGCCTACTCTGCTCCTCTCAAACACCAAGCCACAATGGCGGACGTTGTTCAATACCGTCTCGAGCGCATGGTAGACGAGCTCGATGACCTCGAGCGTCGCGGTATATTCACTTGTCGTGAGATCGCCGAGATAGTCAAGCAACGTCGCAAGTTCGAATACCGACTCAAGCGCCCTTCTCCTCTCAAGCAAGATTTCATTGCCTATATCGACTACGAGACTCAGCTAGATTCCCTTCGCCGGCTCCGTAAGAAAGCTGCGACTCGTGAACTCGTGCGTCAAGGAAAGAAGATCAAGTCTAGGAAATCGGTCTCCGATTTCGCCCCCGTCGCGAGAATCATGGAGATATATAGACTTGCTGTGATGAGATATAAAGGAGACGTGGAGCTTTGGTTTCGGTACCTTGAGTTTTGTAGGCAGAGAAATAATGGAAGAATGAAAAAGGTACATTTTTTAAAATTTATGCATATATATATTTCTGTATAGGTATGAAAAAGAAGAAATTGTTGCCGTGTTTATTTGAGCTTTAGTCGTGATTGGTTTTTTAATTTGTTGAATATTGTAGGTTTTGGCTCAAGTGATTCGGTTTCATCCTAAGCTGCCAGGAGTTTGGATATATGCAGCAGCTTGGGAATTTGATCATAATTTGAATGTTGCAGCAGCTCGTGCTTTAATGCAAAGCGGCTTGAGATTGTGTCCAAATTCAGAGGACCTTTGGGTAGAGTATCTTAGGATGGAGCTTACATACCTTAACAAGCTAAAAGCTCGAAAGGCTGCTCTTGGGGAGGATAAAGGAACCTTGGTCCGTGATAAGAAGGATGCTGATGAGAAGCAATGGAAAGAGGAAAATAAAGATTTGTTTATGTCCCTTGATGATGAAGAAAAAGAAAATATTGATCATGGGTCAGATGAAGAGTCTGGGAAGGAATCAAATTTGTTTTTGGAACATGCTTCGGGTATTCTTAAAACGATATATAGTGGGGCAATTCAAGCAGTCCCTTCTAGTTTTAGCCTCAGGAAGCAACTTCTTGAGATATTGGAAGCAATAGAAGTGGCAGATTCGGAGGAGCTTCGTGGTGAGATTCTGAGTGATATGAAAAGAGACTTTTCAGCTGACCCTGAATATTGGGATTGGCTTGCAAGACTCGAAATGTCTGATGCCTCAAGTACTGGTGAGAAGAATGATGATGCCATGCTCTCTAAGTTGCAAAAGGCAGCTCAGGTGTGAAACTTGTAACTATATATTGCCAAGTACAATTCTAGCAAGCATGTTTACCATATGATATATTATTTCTATGCCATGTACAGGTGTATGAAGAGGCAATAAAATCCGTTCCTTCAGCTACGATGTTCAAATTTTATATAAAATTTTTGTCCGATGTCATTGCTCCTAAGAGTGGGGAAGCAGAAGTGATTTCCTTAACCAATCATACCTCAAGTTATATTACAGACATCATGAAGGTTTATGAGAAGGCTGAAAAAATGGGATGTCTTACGGAAGAACTTGCCTGCCAATATATTTCATTTTACACACAACTTGGGAGACTGGAAGAAGCCAAGAAATTAGCAGAGAAGCTCTGCTGTGGAAAACTTTCAGATTCATTACAATTATGGGTTTTGAGGGTTTCCATAGAAATTAGATGTATCACAAGGAATTCTCTCTCTCCTTGCAAGGCTGATGCATTGTACATCTTTGAGCTTTTTAGAACTGTTCTAACAAAAATGTCAATGTCAGAAGCTGAGAGCTTGTGGATAATGGTATGTTTCGACATTAATTATCTTCTTTGTCTTTTTCTTCTCCCTTCAACGCCCTAGTTGATGTTTATTTGTTGATCATCACCCTTGCTGAATGAACTTGGATCCCCTTATGATTTGCCTAAACATGTTGAATTATGTTTTCTCATCTGCATTGTATATATATATGAAAACTTATTAGTATTTTGTACTTTTATCTCTTCCTCTACTACATTGGAAACAGTAAGGCAATTAAGTCGACAAGTATGAAAGTGCTGGTGTAATTCTATCTCATTCTACAGGCTCTCAAGTTCTTTGGAATTCAAAAGAAATATTTTGAGAAGCTGATTGAGCTTTCTCTCAGAGCGGTTGCTAAATATGGTGGCAGTGAGAATGGATTTTCTCTATCTTCAGCTGTAGTTAATTTCATCCTTCAAAAAGATGGACTTAAACATGCAAGAGAGGTGTATAAGAGGTATGTTATTATGTCTTGAGATGATGTTTTTGGTTACTTTATTTTGCCTCAATTGTATCTCCCCAGGATTTGAAGTTAAGGGTTGCTGCTGTGCTTTTGCATTTATATGTTAAATAGTATAAGTATATTGATAGTAATTCATTTCATGCAATAAATTGCTTACTTTATGTCCTCTGTCAATTGTAGATTCCTGGCTCTACCTCATCCAGGTCTTGCATTATACAAAAATTGCATTGAATTAGAGTCAAATCTCGCCTCTCTTGGCAATGAGGATTCTCTAGAAAATGCCCGAAAGTTGTATGAAGCTGCACTCAAAACTTATGACCAAGACACTAGCTTATGGAAGGATTACCATTCCCTTGAAACTAAGGTGAGCTTTTTGTATTATTTCTTTCATACCGGTTTCTCTGATTTTGATTAGAATCCTGTGCTCTCACTCACCATCTTCCAACCCCCTTTTACAGTTGGGGACATCAGAAACTGCTGCTGCTATTTATTGGCGCGCTCGTAAATCATTAAAAGAGTCTGCTGTAGTTTTTTAATTCCCCTGATCAGCTACAATTTCTTCAGTTTTGATGTCCGATATCTCTATTTATTTTAAAGTTTTGATGTTTAAAAGAGAAAACAGAGGAAACCCTGCTGTAAGCATAAGTTCCAATAGGAAATTGAGTAAATTTTGAATCAGATCTGCAGTAGGGAGAGTCATATTGCATATGGTTTTATGACATGAATGTGGAAAATGTAGTATGATAATAAAAATAATATGACTAGGATTTCTGTTAATTTTTTATGTTAATTATTGTTTTGAGAAAATTGGAATTTAACACATGATACCCGAATAAAGCATCAAACTATGTCATTGCCTTTTCAGTTAACAGATAATCTAGTGATTAGTATCAATTGCAACGGTTAAATTACATAAAAAAGAACAAGCACAATAACAAGAAGCAAAGCGAAATATGTTGGAGGTGAGCCTCAGGATGGCTTGTAATATTTTGTTGGTACAAAAGGCGTTTTGGTGACAACTCCATCATAGGCCTTTCCTCTTACCAAAATCTTAGCTTTAGTTCCTGCCTTGTGTAATCCGGATTTAACGTATCCCATTGCAATGTTCTTCTTGAGGCAGGGGCTAAATCCTCCGCTAGTGATTTCACCAATGTTGTTCCCTTTCTCGTCCTGAATCTCAGTGTGGGATCGAGGAGGTGGGCCTGGGGAGGTGAAGCCAGCACGCCTGATAGAGGGACCCTCTTCCAGTTGTTTACGGATGACCTGAGCTCCTAGGAATCCACCTTCTGCTCTCCTCTTCCCAATGGCCCAGTTCAGTCCAGCCTCCACTGGTGTTATATGTTGTTCCATGTCATTTCCATATAAACACAGGCCAGCTTCGAGTCGGAGACTGTCTCAAGCTCCAAGACCAGTCAACCTAACCTTCCCTTCAGATCTCTCTAGGATTGCTTTAGCAAGATCCACAGCATTTTCCGAGGGAACTGAGATCTCAAATCCATCCTCAAGGGTGTACCTGATCCATAGATTAAAGAGACAACTACCCTCCATAGCCATCCTAACAAATGATAACATCATCATGCCAACCAAATTACTACTCTTTTAATAGAAAAATGGAAGATTACCCGGTCCGAGTGAGAAAGCATGTTGCACCATTGATATCCAATATACGGAACTCCCCAAAATATAGCTTACCAAGATCATCCTTTGTCAGATGTTGAAGAACTGGGGCAGCTAAAGGACCCTGCAAGAGAGAAGACGAATGTTTCAACTGTCATTGATAACAGAAGACTACATTTTCTACGTCTAGTGAGAGGACAAAACACAGATAGACATGTACGAGCCAAAGTAAACATAGTTCACTTGCCTCAGGCAATTCATTCTCTTAAATTCTTAATAACCTGCAAATGCAAGCAGACTGAATTATTCAAGAATAAGAGGAGAACATTTGATTGGGGAGGAACAGTTGCATAGAGTAAAGTAAATATAGAAGCAAAAGTATGCATGCATGTTTGACACAAAATTCACCAGCAAATTGCAAGAATGCAAAATAATGAATCTATACAGAGAATCAGGCGTGGAGACATACAGTTAGAAGAGTTTATAGACTAACCTGGAGAGCTAGAAGAGATCTCTCATCATGGATGTGCCACGAGACATCTCCACCTTTTTGGACTTGAATGCCTTCATATGCTCTTCAATGTGTGCCAAATCTTTATCCCTGCAGCCTGCATTCACAACCAGGTATATGTGATCATCCTTCACTTTGGTGATCACAGAATCATCAACTGCCCCTCCCTTCTCATTTGTAAAGACAGTTAGCGTTCCAGTTCCAGGGGCAAGTCCAGCAACATCAGCAATGACGAGCTTTTCGAACACAGTCCTTTCCCTTAAGGCTCAGCCCACACATATGTGATACATCAAAGAGGCCTCCATTCTCCCTGCAATTTACCGTAGAGTCCATGATGGAGTCCTTGTACTGAATCGGCATGCTCCATCCAGCAAATGGGACCATCTTCCCACCATTAGCAACATGGAAGTCATAAAGTACAGTCTTTTTCAGATCAGCCTCTGAAGCAAAGAACCGACAGCTACAGCCTTCTTGTCAGCTTGAGTAAGACGACATGTAACCGATTGCCCAAGATGCCAAGGACTTCCCCTCATCTTCTAAAGTTGAAATATCTGATGAAGAGTAATCTTCCAGAAATAAGCAATAACAAAACCTTGTAATGCCCAGTCATGTGTAAGGAAAAGCAAGTTCAACAGATGTTACACACGATCGAAGAACTATCAACAGGCAAAAACAGTGTAAAATGAAATTCATTTTAGAACATTCTAAACTGACATTTACATCATTGTGCAATGCTCATCTAAAAAAGTTGTCAGAAATGCCGAGTGTAAAAAGAGAACGTCATTAATATACAAGGCAAACAGAGTGGAAACGTGCTGTAATTCAATGGAAATGCTTCATGTATTCAAAATCACACAGGCAAATGCAATCTCATGAATCATTCCATTTCAATGTTTGCAACCCACCATCATATACCAATCAAATATCATTCGAATTTCTTCACAGATTATGACCCAAAACGATCTAGAAATCAGCATTGAGCTGTTCAAGACATGCAACAAACAACCAGACCATCTCCAATTAATACTCGCCATTGTACCAAAGTTTTTGAGATGCAAACCATCGAAACAGAAAAGGGTGTTTAACAAAAGAAACCAACGCTGTCACGTTATCAAAAGATCAAAATCAAATTCACCGCAAACATCACAAGGACAGAGAATAATGGTACCAGGATTTTGAAGACATAAAACTATCAATGCAGTAAGACAAAACAGGACTATGGAAAAGGCTTACACAGAACCCTTCCCTGCGTTTTTCTTCTTCAAAACTCCCAAAGAGCGCAAGAGACAATTGCTCTGCTAAAACCTAAAAAAAAAGGATAGCCATTTTATATCTGGGTGAACTATATTACTATACATAAAAAAACAAATATTTATTATTATTTTTTAAATGATGAGATGGCTTCGTAGGTAGTATAGTGGGTGGAGGAGGGTATGTCTGCGAAATCCACAAAAAACAAATAACCAACAAAAAACCTCATCGTCAGCGAGTGGTGCTGAAAGGACTTTGGAGCTATACGATCAGTCGGTCGATGCTCATGGCATACTCATAACAGAGCCTTTTTTTTGGCCCAGGGGATTTTAGATTTAAAATTTAGGGTCTTACCCATCCCAGAATTTAATGAGGGGTTTACGATATTTATTACAGTGTCGGGTGAACTCGTCACCTTAAGATGATGAATATTTTAGAATATTATTTTTTAATAGACCCGGATGAGTGAGTCTAACGTGGACTATTAATTTATTATTTTTAAACGACCATTAATAATTTTAAAAAAAATTAGAAATAAAAAAGAGGATAACTTGTCACTTCGAGGTGACAAGTTCCTTCGGATTCAAAAATCTAATTGTTGATCAATGGGTAGTTGTGCAACGGTCACTTGAAACTCGTCACTGAGGTGACGAGTTCTTCTTAATTTTTGCATTATAGTCGCTGGAATTTGGGTTATAAATATGGGGTTGGAGTTTTGATTTTTCATCAAACCCTAAATTCAAAAAAATAATGAAAATTTCAACTTTCTGTGAAAATCTCAAAAAATGGTTTCCCAATCAAACACGTTGTGCCTCGACAACGTCCATATTTCATCGATCGAAAGAAGAACGTAGTATTAGTTAGTGCGAGAAGACTGCAAAAGATTTGTATTTACGAAAGATGATATATCTTCAGCAATCCGTTCTTTTTCCAGTTATATTTGTATGTGGCTTCAAGGTGTACCCGGCGTTGATTGAGTCTCTGATCAAACGTTGGTGGCCTGAGACGTACACTTTTCATTTTCTGAGTGGTGAAACGACGATTACTTTGGAAGACGTTGCTTACCAACTCAATGTTATTGTGAATGGAGCCCCGTGGTGAGTCGTAACAATTACGACATTAGGACGTTGGTCTACAGAGTTTTGGGAAAGATGTCACCATCCGAGTTCATAGATGGCTATCAAGTACGGATGACGTGATTGGAGTCTGAATTCCAAGTGATCAACGACTCTACCGAGGAAAATGTTATTTTTACGCCGCAAGCATATCTTCTCCAATTGATCGAAGGGATATTGTTGCTGGATAAATCTGGTAATTTGGCACACACTTAGTATCTTCGAATATTAAATGACTTCATCGAGTGTCGCAATACCAATTGGGGCTTGTCGATTTTAACTTTCTGTACTGGGAGCTTTACAAAACTACAATTGTTGAGCGGGGTCGAAAAGTCGATGTAGCAGGTTGTATAATATTTCTACAATCATGTACTTTTTTTAACTTTGTTTTTAAATTTGATTAACTTAAATAATTTTTATCTCTTTTTAATCTTTTCTATTTTTAAATATTTTAGATGGCACCATAAAGTAATTGAGACGAAGTTGTCGGATGCCATTACAAAAGATATACAGATGAAGATCAATATCACAGGTCGTTATGCGGTATACATTTTTTTTTATAATTTTTTTTTAAAATTTTAAACTTTATTAATTTTGATATTTAATATTTACAGTTTTCTTGACTTTCGTATACTGACGACAAGATTTACCCGTTATTGTCACCACAATTTTTTAAGGGGTTTGATTTATGGTGTGTCGTGACGTCGTTTTTACATATTGCGATTGCTAAGAACACCTCCTCGGTAAGATGAAGACGGCGACGATGACGATAAGCCCATCACCATATTTCGAATGTGGATCTTAGAGTGTGTTAAGTACATCTCCTCAGCAAGATGAAGAAGACGACGATGACGATCAAGGCCGACGACCCCGGCATACTCTACGAGCCTCGCACCATTATCATTCGACTACTTCTCGACATCGTCAAGAACTTAGAAAATATAAATAAATTTTATTAGTTTGTAAACAATGTTATTTTAATAAAAATTATTATTATTTTTTAATTATTTTATTTTTAAAATTTAATCCGGGCGAACTCGACACATCAACGTGACGAGTTCCATTATGATCGTTGTACAACTACCCGTTGACCAACAGCTACAAAACAATTAGTTTTTTAAATTCGAAGGAACTCATCACGTCGAGGTGATGAATTCCCCTCTTTTTTTATTTCTAATTTTAATTTTTTCCAATAAGAAAAAAATATTTTTTTATTGAACTCGTTACCTCAACTTGACGAGTCCGTTTAAAAATAACAAATTAATGGTCTACGCGGGAATCACTCATCCGGATCCATTTAAAAATAATATTTTAAGTAACTGGTCATCTCGAGGTGATACTGTAGCAAATGTCGTAGATCCCTAATTAAAATCTGGGGATGGGTAAACCCTAAATTTTAAATTTAAAAGCCTTATTGGGTCAAAAAAGCCCAGACCAGACAACTTTGAACCCAGAGACTAGTTAACCCATCTTAAAATAACAAATTGGGTTTAAATTTTGGACCCGAACCCAGTCCAAGCATACAAGGTTGAACACCTCTCTTAATCCTTTAAAAACAGTCGAAATGTCAACATCCAATTGTTATATATTGTTACCTGATTGAAATATTCAGTTCTACTACTTTGAAATTTCATTTTTCTCACTTTATTTATACAATTCTTTCTCTTTGGTTTTGTTGAAGAAGAGTAGAATGCAAAATAACAAACAAATATCAACTTTAAGGGGAAAAAATACACATTGATTTCTATGAAGTATATTTTCAAGTTTCCATATCTAGACAAAATTGTACAAAAAATTATCAGTGAACCAGTGATTAACTAAATGAATCAAAGAATAATGCTTGTACATATGCACATGTTGTGATCATGAATACATGGATTAAAACAGCTTGCTTGCGAATTCATCAATGGGGATTCCTTCTATACCAGAGCAACTGGATTTTTTGGCTACGTCTCTCAGCTGCGTTAAACTTCTTCCCAATTGCAACGCCACCTTCATTTCAAACAACTCCCCGTTTTCTCTTTTACCCAAGTCACCTTCACTCAATAGATTCTTGCACATGTTTGAAGAAGCCAGCGTTGTTCCTATACATCTCAAACACCATACAGACTTGACCACCGTTCTCCAAAGCGTTAACAGCTGAAGCTAAAGCTCCTGCAACAGCTGCCATTATTGCTGCCCAAGGACCATTGGACGAATCCATAAAGGCAGATCCTAAAGCTGCAATTCCAGTCAGAATTGGCCCTGAGGCAGCTAAAACTTTGTTCATCTTCAAAGCCTTGTTGCCTAGTCTCTCGTAATCTTCACTGTCTTTTCTCTTAATCACCTCAACCACTTATCTCTTTTCGCTCCATCCTTTGCTTTCAACGACTTGTTTGTTTGTTTTCTGGGATTGGACCTTAGGCCACCAAACAGCAGGCTCTAAACTTTCTGGGATTTTTTCAAGCATTACACCTAGTAAGGAAGAGGGTAGGCTTTATCAAGGGCCAAGACCTTCTCCATAGCATTTTTACGTCTTCTTTGCTTGGAGAGCCAATAGAAAGTAGGGTTTCTATTTGTCTCTAAGCTGCTTAAACAATCTTGTCGCATTACGTTGCTCTTCCACAAGCTGCGAGGGTTGGATTTTGTTCATCAACACCAACATTCCCGTGGCTGCAGAGAACAAGAGAGTGGATGCAACCTTCAAACTGAAAACAGAAACTCCAGCGCCGCCGGTTGCCATAACACCAGCCATGGTAGCGGCGGTGAGAGTGATCGTGTTGATGGAGTTAAGAAGAAGGGTGTTTCCCGGTGTTGCCCGATGTTGTTGTGCATCTCCACTGTATCGGCAATGGACTCTAAGATAGCATAAAGTTGTATGGTAGCCATTTAAACCGATGAGCTTTCTTCAACCAAAGGTGTCTCAATAACATTCTTTTCAAATGGGATTGTGTTGAAAAGCCCATCCTGGTATTCAAATCCACAGACAACCCTTTCAGGGGCGGATGCACTAAGCCCCTAGCGGCCAAATTCATCCCATTATTTAATAAAAAAAGTGAAATTTAATATAATATGTTAAAGAAAAATGAAAAAAAAAATTTGCACCCCTGTTATTTTCAAGAAAAGAAAATTAAAACTTTGGACCCATTTATAAATTTTTAGATCCGTCACTGAACCCTTTGGTTGCTACTTTTGGAACCGACAACCTAATGGATGGAAGCTTTGGCACGGATAGAGCGGCACTGATCTGATTTGAAGAAGAAGAGAGTAGAAAATTAGAAGCTCGTAAAGATGACTGCATGGACGGTATTACTTTGTTTCCCATTCCGAGTTCTATAGTGTAATAGTTTATATATATTAATGTGAAACAGAGGAGCCCTCTGCACGTACATATATCCCATAGAACCTACCTGAATGAATTTGCAGTTCTGGCCAGTTGTGGGGTGGATAAATCACCAATATGTGCCTTTGCAGTTCCGTGTCATTTTCAGTAGCCTCGTTGCATTTTGCTGGTAAATACTTTGCTTCTTTCCCTCTTTACTTTCACCCTTCAAAATATATAAATTCAGTGTTAAGGTGATTTTTATTCCTGCGAACTTCATTTTTCAGGGGAATATTTCTGAACCTTCGAGCAAGATCTATGACACTGCCCAAGGCTGCACTGCCCAAGAGTAACTGAACGATTTGAAACCTTCCACGTGCTTGGATTGATTAAATACTATCACGTTCACATTCCATATCATAATCTCATTTTAATCTTTATGTAGCTTGAACCTTGTTCTGTTCAACCATGAATTTTCATATCCTTGATCTTAAGTTCGCTACTTAGCTAAGCAATAAAACTTCAGAATCTGTTTTTTCTACTCGGCCTAATATTATTTCACTTGCTAGGAAACTGGTATCCATTACATTCAAGGCATCCCTGTGTACAAAGTTAGGACATCCATGCATTAAAACATGATAGCCAGCCACAAAAGTGAGAACTCGGAATATTTGTAAGTCTTAGGGTCGTTTGTTTACTACTGAATGGAACCATTCAGTGCTTAATGTTGAACCGTTCAGTATTCAGCATGTTTGATTCTCACCTCTGAATGAAGATTATGCTGAATGAAACAGCACAACGCTGCTGAATGATTCAGCATTAAAGTACATTCTGAATCATTAAACACCCGGTATTTTACCATAATACCTATTTTTTCACAAGTTGTCTTATTAAACAATCATATCTTATAATATAATAAATCATTATGGAGGTAAAAATGAAAATATTCATAATTCAGATTGTACATTCAGAACCATTATCAAACATCATTTCACATTCAGAGCCAATTCATACAAGCCTTTGAATCATTCAGGCCATTGAATCATTCAGCGCTTAATCATTTTATTTTATCAAACATCCCCTTAGTCTTAAATTGGAACTGCACCAGATTTTAGCTTAAGGTTCAACGTTAAGTAGCGTCTCACTTTACATTGTAAACAAAGCTTTGCAGCCTCAATGGTGCAAATATTGTCGGATTCGTGGTCCCAAGGAGAATAATTCCAGCCTATACTCTCATGATATGATCCACATTCCACGGGTTGGGCTATAACAATTGTGAATTGTAATGTCCTTATACAATGTTTTCTAACATGATAAATTAAATATTAGTGCACATCTACAAATTATTAGTCTAAGAACTATGTCGTTAAACAACGAAACCATGGACATTATACTGCAGCGTCTCGCATGCTTGTCCTTACTTGGAATACATAATCACATGGTGAACATGTGTTCTATTTTCACATGGCCAATGCAAATTAAAAATGAGATTGATAACAAAAATAAAATGGTGTTTTTATCACACCCACGTGCTATCATGTGGTAAAACTCGATTACATCTAAGGGAGGGTGTAATAGGTGATGGGATGGGCAATTGGGCATATGTAAATATAGGGTAAAATCGAATTATCTGACCAGAAATAAAAATGTCGATGAAATTTTACAATGCTCTCAAAAACTGGTTAGGTTCCTTGTCTGTTTCCTTTATTTCCTTGGAAGAAGTTTATAGAACCTAGATTCATTAAAAGAGATTGCAGCGTGGTAAAAGGTGGATTAAAAAAACACTTATCATTAAAGTAATTTAAATTCATACATAAGATGTAAAATACATATTTACATGCTGCAAATGAAGTTAATTTATGCCTACTCTCATCTCTCTCGCTGTTAGTGGCTAAACTGTTTTGCCCACTATTCTTTGTGAGATAGTAATCAACCACTATTTCATAATCCTCGCTCAGCCTACTTGTAGATTCATCGACGTGTAAAAAGTTATGGTCCAGTTTGTTAGGTAACAGTTCCACTTCCAAATTGACATTGTTCCTCACTGTCACCCAATTTTCATCGTATTCCCAACTGGGTAATTTTGATGACAAAACAAGATTGTCTTCACCCAATTGTCGGATCCTTTCCATTAAAGACTTGTTGGAAGCAATCTGAACTGTCTCCAACTCTTCAACGGAGTCCCAGAAGTGTGGGTGCAGTACGTTGTTGGGTGTCTCCGATATAGAACCAACGGGTTCCTTCGATTCCTTTACGAAATCGTGCGAAAGAAGTTGCGTTGCCGACCATCTCTCGGCAGGGTCTCTCCTCAAACACTTGCTTAGAAAATCCCTTGTCTGTTTCGAAATCATGTTTGGTATTTCCAGGGCATCATTTGAATACCCGATTCTGTACAGTGCAGAAACAGGGTCGCCAACATCAGGCCACGGTGCTCGTCCGGTAGCCATCTCGATTACCGTACATCCAAGTGCCCACACGTCAGCTGAGAATCCTTGTTGCTCGCCACGCGCCACCTCTGGAGCCATGTAAACAGGGGTGCCAGCAACCGACCAAGAGGCGCCCGACGTCCCATCAGCTCTCCTGGCGCAACCCAAGTCGGCGATTTTCACCCCGTCATCGGTGACCAAAATATTCTGGCCCTTGATGTCACAATGCACTATTCGTCGAGAGTGCAGGAATTCAAGCCCGAGTAAAATCCCACGAGTGTAGGATCGAACCATGTCCTCCTCAAGGCAACCACCGTGCTTCTGAATTGCATCGGTGACGGTGCCACTAGGAGCATATTCCAGGAAAAGATTGTATAGAAGCTTACCATTCTCGGACGAAATGACACACCCTTTATATGCAACAACTTGAGGGCAGCTTAACGTACACAAAATGCTCTGTTCCTTTCTAAGAGATTCCGACTGCGAGAGCTCACAAGACTTAACAGCAAATAAATGACCGGACTGGTCAACGGTGGCTATAGAAACGGTGGCAGTGGAGCCGCGGCCAATGGTTCTGCCACGGGTCCAATCCATTAAGCTTGGAAAGGAATGTGAAAAACGAAAGTTGAGTCGGGGAATATGGATGGTTTGGTGGGTAGTGGGTACTAAGCATTTATACGCAATTTTTGGTTGCTAAGTTTGGTAAAGGTTCAGCTCTAATGCGAAAGAAATAAATGCCTCCTTAACAGCACAATTTGTTTTGTGGCCAATGGGCGGCCGCCGTTTCTTTCCATCTTGAAACCAGAGAGTTCAACGTGGCAAAAGGAGGTTGGACTAAAAGCTTGGGCGGCGGCTCGCTTACTTGTGTAGCTTAGCCATGAATCATACTGTTGTATGCTCACATCACATGAACCGCATGCTTAGAGAATTAGAGTGCCGTGCTAGTTCGCACAGTGAGGTCCTTTGGTTCATGAACATTAATTAATTACATTAATCTAATCCCTAGTACTTGACTTCATAGAGCTTCTGTTTGATTAGCTACCACACTTAATAATGATAGACTACGAAGAAAACTATTTTTACATATCAAATGGCTCATGAACTAGTTCAAGTTATCCATTGAATATTAAATTTAGGCTTCATGATGCTATTCGCCCTTCGCTTGCAAGTTCTTTTTTACTCATTAGCATGTGAAAGTGTGAAGCAAAGTACATTGTTTTCTTATATGTTTAAACTTTGAATTAACTCATGTAATGTCTACCTGTCAAAAACATGGTGAAGGTGCCGCGTAGCACTCAACCAATTGATGACAGGTACCTAAATAATTAGATATGGTTAGTTACATTGCTTGGAGTAATATAGGTGCAAAGGCAAAAGGGGGTTGGTACAGTTGGAATTTAGTTGAGAGAAGGAAAGAGAGCAACTTACCCACCAGCCCCCAAACCAACCTTTCACAATCACAAAAAATGTCATAAGTTGGTTGGTTTTGGCGCATTTCATGGCTTCCTTTCCAAGTAAAACACAATCGGAGCACGTGGCAGCCACCAATTGAACTCCTTTTGGCCAATTGGTTGATTCACCTTTCCGTAAAAAAAAAAGGTTGGGGACCCCGCTCTGCTTTGCCTACATATATGTTGCATCATGCATTATCTGATTGTGGCTATCATACCAATTCCCTTTTTCTTTTGGCGCACATACTTGTTCCTTATGTGTTCAAAGAGAAAGTTCTAAGGAATATAACTATAAGGTTCCCACTGCCATACCAATTGCCTAAGCGTAAGAAATGGATATGGAATCCCAATAGTTTTAAAAGCAAGTAAATGCGGTTTCCCAACATATTTATTAAACACTGGCCTGTGCTACAGAGCAAGGACGAAAGTGTTTACAACACAGCATGGTTTTATGTTGTAATAACACAATAATGGAAGATGGAAAGTATTAAGAACTGAGGTCCCACATGGTAGATATTTCAATAGTAATGGCAGCTCACTGTCGACTTGAACAAGGAAACAATAACGCATGCACACATTAAAGTAGTTTGGTGTCTTAATTGTTCATCTCTGGGTAGTTGAAATGTGGGGGTTAAAAACCAAACACAAAATAAATGATATTTAGAGTTCCATCAAGTTAAAGCATTCGCACACTTTCAATATTACTATATTAGCAGTTAAGGCTGATATTCAATATGGTGAACCAGAGCACTGATGCTGTAACAAATGCCCTTTCTTAATCATAAATTTTTTATACTGTTGGAGTTTTTGGGCCAGTCACCCCAGGGCTGATGACATCAATATCCTAATAAATGTTTCGAGATTTATCACCACCGTTAAGGCAAGCCTCTATGTCCATGTGAATGGTCCAAAGAAGACGGTCCACTAAGTATCAATCTAGAGTACTCGCTTTTACTTGGGCTTGGGGTGTTTATACATTGCCCCACTTAAAAACTACTTGTATTGGCCCATGATTAAAAGGATGTAAACAAGTCAAGTTTGAGTATTGTCGAGATCAATTCGACTCAAAAAGTTTACATTTAAATTTGACTAGACTTGAAAACTCGTGAGTTTAAAATTTTCAAGTTTAACTCGAACTTGGAATCAAAATTTAAACTTGACTCAAGTTTGAAAAAAATTATGCAAAACATTCTTAGACTAAGTTTGATTGAAGCTCGAACTCGAATAAAATTCATTTAAATCGAGTATTGATTGAATTTTGACCGAATCAAATTCAAATAATTTTACTATACATCTTGTTTAATTTATAACCCTAAGAAATTAGAAACGTTGAAAGTTGATGCGCCGTGGAATAATCGAACAGTCATCTACAAGACAAAGCTGGTGTTAAAACCACTGGTTTTTCTTCCACATTTGTCAAACATAAACGTAGGGAAGTTACATTGTCAAGAGGTGATGTGCTGAAAAGCCGTGAACAATAAGTATTAGCTGTGATGAAATCACTTTGGGAAATCATACACATGTGCCTTTGAAATCCGCCGAAACTTTTGGGCAAATCGGAAGAAACCGAAAGGCACATGAAAGTTTCCCACACAATTTCCTAGTGAAAGGAAATATGGACGGGTGAACTTGGTAAGTTGAAAAAGGTAGTCTATAATGGCGGACCAATCCCTTAAAATCTGTACCACGTGTGTGAAAGGTATCTTGGTATACCTTATAAGAAGTAATTCGTGTGGAAATTCATTCCCAAGAGTCCATCGTTCACCATGAAAAGCCCATATATGGCTACCCTTTTCTCTTTATTGCAACTGTCATTAAAACATGTTGGGGGGATTGGTTCACTTCCCTCGATTAGAGAATTTCGATAATTTTAAACACTATGAAAAATATATCGTTGTCGGATGGGTTAATAAAAATCCAAATTTTGAGTCAACTATTTCCAGTCTTTACTGGTTGTCGGTTTCTCTATTTATTGCTTATATTAATATCACTCCTTATCTCCTACATAATCGAAGGTATTACTTCTTTCAAATGTTTATCATGCATCTTCACCTGATTGATAAACGTCAACAAAAACCTAATCTCGTAATCATAGTATTTAATTAATTAATTAATAAAATACTTCCTAATTGGAGAATTCCGACATGAAAACAAGCATGAAAACATCAAAAACAGGTAGCTTTTCAAATCTTTTGTCACATTTAATATTTTTCTCTTTCCATGTACAAATACAATCACAAGAGGACTAATGTGTAGCAGTAATTAAGTTAATTAGCTGTTTGTTTGACAAGTCAACAATGACCGCAACTTCTAACTTGTTTTTACCCGATGAAATAATAATAAAAGGGTTAAATTATCACTACTTTTTTTAAAACTTATTATTACTTAATCAATCCGAAGGGGCTACCGTCAAATGCATATGACCAATGAATGTGTGACAAGAGAAAGCAGACGTGTATAATTTTATGAATTTTATATCGTATTTGTATCAATTAGATTGAGGATGTGTGTAAGTTTAATAGGTAATTGACAAGTGTAGAAGTAAAAAGTTATATTTGTTGTGAGTAGTAGGTGATAGTTTGAAACTTTACTCGCCCCGCATTTGCTCACCCCATATCCATCCACTCACTAACTATCTATCATATAAATTTTGGATCATTATGAATTTAGGTATAATTTTAAATATTATTATGTAAATATTAAGATTTTTTAGAAAATGACTTGTAATTTAACCAAATGTTAATGTATAAACATTTTTTGAATTGAAATATATCATTTCTCCTATCTTAAATTGGTGGGTATAGATGAGTACTAAATAAATTGTGGATATCTAATTAGGTAGTAGGCGTCGTAGGTGTGTGAATAGATTTGAGAATGTACATGTTTAGGTGGGTGTTAACTTAAAATTTTACTCGTCATGAGTGGTGAGTAGGAGATATATACAAAAAATATTAGGTGGGGATGAGAAAAGGGTATCCGCAACCGTCTTATCCATTTTCCTATCCCTATGCGTGACTATCGTCAAATTTTCAGGTCACCAAAAGGGTTTGAGATTAAGAGATACCCGTTTGAACCGCATATACGAAAACCTTTAAAAATAAAGAATAATTGTATCTGTGATTAAAAACAGAAATTTGATAATAATTGAGTCACTAAACATGTTATTTAGCTTAATATTTATCATAAAAAATTTATAGATAAAGTCGTTAATTTTATTAAAAATAAAATATCTAAAATTACAATAAAATATTTACTATTATAACTATAAACTAAATTTATAATAGAATATTTTTTATAATCATTAATACAAGAAATTAATCCATCAAGATCACACAAGCACAAGGAAAATGTTTAAAAAACTTAATCAAATAATCTCAAATGAAAAAATAGATAGAAACATATCTAATCGCTTCAATAAATGAACCACAAAAGTAGATCAAACTATTAAAAAATCATCGATAAACTGCTAATCAGAGTCGAATAACATGAGAAAACTATCCACATATGTAAATCACATATCCAATCCAGTTCGAGGGTCTAAAGTAAAAAAGATTATCATAATAACAAATAAGTATGATCTTGATCAGTCATTTCGATGTTAAATCTAACTTTAATAAAAAATAATAATAAAATAATAAGAGACGTATAAAAAAATATCATAAAAGTATATATAAAAACTAAAAGATAAAAGGAAAATTAAATATGTAATTAAGAAAATAAAAGGAAAAAAAACAGATGGCCACTAAGATTGATGTCAGTACCTACCAACTACAGATCAAGAAAAGTTAAGCGGCTATGTTTAAAAAGAAAATGGTTATTATAATTTCACAATAGATAATTAGGAAGGCTTTAATTTATTATAAATATGTTAATTTATATTGTAGTGTGAAAAGTAAATGTAATTATTCCTTGATGCAGCCGTGATAATAATGGTCATTAAGAATAAACATGAAAATTTATTCGTAAATTTTGATATGATATTATCTTATAAAGTCAAGTTATTACATAATTGAATATTTTAAAAAAATAAAATTTGGATTAGATATTCTAATGATAAAATCAAATCAAATCAGGTGTAGAAACAAAAAAAATATCTGACATAAAATAGTAGTATAATTTCTCTTTATATGTTAGGATAATTATTATAATGTATCTCTTAATATTTTTTAAATTGCCTCTATTTTTATTTATTTTTCATATTTTACCGAACAGAAAATA